CTCACTCAAATGCTGAAGAGTGCTGGCCCCAACGGCATCGGGGGGGAAACAGTGGATGGCAGCGCGCTCGGATGGGGTGAGCGTTCGCCACTGCCCCTGTCGCCAAGCCACCGAAATGTCCTCGTAAGCCTCCACGGGGAATCGCCTAGAGTCCTCCTGGAAACGAGCGGTGGCCTGAGCTGAAGCTGCACAATCCTTGTCCAAAGGATGAGAAAACTCTGCCGTGAAAGTGAAAATCCGAGGCAAAGAAGCATCAGTGAGATTAGCTTTCGGATCAATGTGCAACGAAAAACCTCTCTCCAAGTTGATACTGGCAGGGATGGGCTTGGACAGCGAAACGTCAATAGCCCAGCTCTTCTCGGACTCAGCAAGTGACACTCCCAGCGGCAGACAAACATGAGAGAAATCGCTATACGATCCCAGCCAGAACAACCGATCCCGATGCACCCATCCGAACTGAGCAGCCCTAACCAAAACCGGCTTCGCATCCATGAGATTGTTGCACTGCCGAACAAATTCGCGAGGGCTGCTAGCGGCACTCTCCAAGAACATGCGAACCTTGAGCCCACGCGCCTCCTCCAGGTTGATGATCTCGTCGTGAATGCGGACCAGCTCCTTGGGACGCTGATAAGGGGAATCGTCAAGGCCGCCACGGCGGCGATTCAAATTGGAGTTTCCTTGGCAAAGACAGCCTCCTCCAATAATCACACCTTCCACCGTGCGACGATGTAAAAACTCCCGAATCATCACCCCTCGGAACTCCTCCACACACTGCAACGAAACCACATTGGGGAAGCTGCGGGCGGCTCGCTCAGCCGCCAAAGGGTCCTGCTCAACGGACACCGCATAAACACGCAGTCCAAGGGACAAGCATGCAAAGAGAGTGCCGCCGACACCGCCCCAAAGGTCGATGACTGGCCAGGTCCCCAAAGACGACCAAGGAAAGGTAGGTAGCTCCCCTCGACCCCGCCAAGCTATGGGCTTACAAGCCTCCAGCCTAGCATGGACTTCAGAAGGAGGGCAATACACTGAAGCAGATGACCGCGCACTTTTTTCAACAGAGCCCCCTGACTGGATGACTCGTCGAGGCGCGCGCCCCTCCAACGCACCAGCATCATCCGAACCTTGGACAACACGAACTCGCGGAAGAGCTGGACGAGAATCGTCGATGACCCGTGCATCTGGGGTCTCCACTGCAGGCAGCTGCTCTGAAGAAGTGACCAAGGGTGGATAGGATCAGGGCTCGGGGCACTGACCACGGCGATGCCTTCCTCCGCAGCCGCGTCCCGAGGCCAACTTGCGATCACACAAGTGCCATCCATCGGGGCACTGTTCCCCCGCCTTAGCTCGCTGACAACAGCGATCGTCGTTCCATGCCTTGCAGAGCGCCTTGTTGCCCTTCAGCGTGGTCACCGTCTGCTGGCGAGTGCGCAAATCCTTCGATGGGGACCCAGCTGTCTGCGGTGGCTTTTTGGGCGGCCGTTCTCCATCAGGAAGCTGCGGCGGGTCGGCCACGCGTTTGGCCCCGCCCTCGCGCCCAAGGCTGTCCAACGGAGCATGCGAAGGACCACGTAGCTCTGATGCCCCGCTGGGGACCATATAGCCCACTCAACCGTCTCTGACATAGCACGAACCAACGCCTCGCATGGTGGCCACCCCTGAATCACATGTGAGCCGTCATGCGCGATCGAGTGAGCCAGTCGTTGCGAACAACCCAAGCCAGCTGAGCACTTTCCGGAACGTCCACGGACTTTCTGAGGATCGTATCAGAGTACCCGAGGGCCTGCTGGTAGGACATAAGGAGCACCTGGGAACCCGGCGAGTTCTTAGACTCGACCTCCGCTGTGCCCACATAGGCCCAACAGTTCGTCAAAGTACGATGCATCAAGTAGAAGTGGGCCATGCTTCGAAAATGGAGCCTAGACGTGGATGTGGTGTAGTCTGCGAGGGTCAAAGTCGCATCCCCCAAAGCAATCTGAAGCTTGTCTCCTTGGAACCGCTCGGCGAGCGCCGTTCGCATCTTCTGCAAATCCACCACTGAAGAAGGCTGACCCTGGATCCACTCCCGATATAAACGATGAATGATCGCAGAGGCCCCCATGATCGCGGGATCCAAGGAGAACTCGGGATACCGCTTCTTCCACCTCTCTTCCAGCATCTGCCTGGCAGTCTCGGGCAAAGGATCCTCGGACGAGCTCGCAGCGGAAGAAGCAAGTGCAGAGGCAGAGTCCTGAAGCTTCGCAGCGGATTGCCAAGCCATCCGAACCCGAGCCAACTGAATGGGTTTCATGCCCTCGGTGATGATGCTCGCCTCCACGGCCAACTTGACCACCTTGGAATCCAGCTCGGCCTCCCATGCCTCCTTGGACACGTAGAAAAAGAAGTCCTGGAGGCTCTCCATCTTGAGGACATCCTTCATGTGTGTGACCAGCTCGGGCTTGACCCGGGCTATGGCCAAACACGACATGAGCCCCCCATCGGCAGCATGAGTCTGAATGAGGGGAGCAGCTGCTCCCGCCATGGTACCGAAACCCTGAAAGGACCCCGGGATACAAAAAGCAAGCTGATATGCGAGCCACGTGAGCACACCGCCGCACACACACGCAACGGCGCCTACACAGCAGCCGAGCAGCACCGACCCTAACGCAATACAGCAGCCCTACAAAGATGCAGCTGACGCGCAGGACACGTGACCACACTGCCGTCAAAGACATGCAACTGCGAGCACACAAGTCTTTAGCGCAATAGGCAGCCTTCCAAAAAGCGAGTTCTAGCGAAGCCTGGTCTGCAGCCCCGTCCTAGCGAGCTACCCATCACTCAGTGCAGCACGACAAGAACAGGTAATAGAACTGCAGGACCACATGGGGGCATCACGCGTGACCGTCAAGAAGACGAGGGGGCCCAGAATCATCAAAATCCGAATAAGCCCCGTATCCTTGAGAATGACACGGCCCACAGAAGTGCCTACGGTGGGGCCGTCTTCTGCGGGGCTTGGACTTGCGTCCGCAAACCCCACGACAGAAAGGCAAACCCACACCCGCGTTAGGGCACGGCAACCGGCAACGCACCACACGGTCCTGCCACTGAGGGGGCGGAGGAGCAGCCGAAGATCCCGAAGCCGCTGCCTCAAAGGACAGCAAGGCAGTGAGCAACCTCTGGCGCGTATCCGCCGACAAGCTCGCCACCCAAGCTGCGAGATCTGCTGGCGAGAGGCCGGATATGTCCATGCCCTCAAGACTTAGAGCAAAGCCCAGCCCGAACAAAACCACCGAAAGAAGCTAGAGCCGCAACTGAAGCACAGCCGACATAAACAGCAGGTTGACATGACTCAAGCCCCACGAAATAAATTCCTGTTGGACTTGAGCACTCCTACTGGAAAGGCCCCGACTAAAGGCCACATGTAGAAACTGACATCAGTGCAGGCAAGAGCGCAACAGAAAATTGTTTTCAAAAGTCACGACTCACTCCAACTCGCTGGGCTCAGATGGAGAAGAGATCGGCTTATCGTCCATCCCTAACCGAATCGCCTCTCTGGTGTCCGCTGGCATACGACGTTGGCAACCGAGACACACAGACAATGACTGGCTGCACGGATTGGTACCCTCTCGGCCCGAGCTCCCGAGAAAGGAGAGCTACGACACCAAGGGACGAGGGACCCTCCGGCCTCCTCCTGGACGATGTGGCAAATCCTACTGCGGCGGGTGACAAACCACCGCAAGTCAGCGACAAGGAGATGGTTCGGCAATGACGACTGACCCTCAAGAACCCCTTCCTCAGAGGAAACAGAAGCGTCAGAGGAGGAAACAGCCTCATTCTCAACCGGCCCGGCCTCTCCAACAAGAGCTGCTACAGAAACAGTGTCAGAGCCTTGGCGAGGAGCCTCCGATAAAGGAGGGTCCGTTCGTCTAACGGAACCGTGCCGGTGGCGTGTACCCCGTCCTCGAGAGACGCCCGCTCTCGGTCTGCCAACTTCCTCAAGAGGGTCGACCAAATGAGAATAAACCTCAGCACTGAACCAAGGGACATCCCGAAGACCAGGTTCTGCTAAGGCCCCCAGCCGCCTAGGAAGACCAGACACATCCTCGGCGGTGGGCCGCACGCGCTCCAGCATAGCCCACGTCAACGCAGAACTGTTCCAGCGAGAGGGCAGCGGTTGAGGAAGAGCGCGCCGCACCATGTCAATGAAGATGGCAAGGCACGCCAATTGAACGCGCCCCGCAACCTGATGCCTAACACCAGAGTACCTCTCGGCCATGGGAAAGCGCGCGTGCATGGATGCCAAAGCGCCGCCGCCACCAACGGGTGCACCATGAGGAATCTCCTGCCAATGGCCGATAGCTTGTGCTTGCTGCGGGTCCAAATGCAAAAAGTTAGCCAGTGTCGCCATAAACCGGCGCAAGGAGTTGAAGGTGAAGGTCTCGGCATGGGAGCCCTCACCAAACTGAACCAGGACGCCCCTGAAGGCTTCTGTACAAGCCCGGAAGCCCATAGGCCCATAGGCCGACAAGCCACGGCGCCCAAAGCCCACAAGCCTTCGTTTGCACGCTGTATCCGAGGCACCACGAAAGGCTGTGTGCCAGGTGGAATTCGGGGTGCAAGATCAGCAAAAAGTTCCTGCAGCCCACGCGCCCAGTCAGGGGACGGGTCCAAGCCAGGAAGGCCCTCGCAAAGCCCCGCGAGCAACGGAACCGTCCACGAGTAAGGTGGGCGAACGCCTTGTACCCTGCGCTTGCCCTGAATGCAGCGCGCATGTAACAGAGTACCATCCTCATGTGTAAAGTAGGATCGCTGCAAATGCCGCAATCGAATGCACGAGAACAAAGCGGCACAGATGGACTGGAGAAGGACCCTACCCGGACCAGCAGCCCTAGCCAAGGCACAAAGAAGACCAACCACAAAGGCTGGTTCCACCACTCTGGCCTGAGTGACAGGCTGACCTCTGGCCTTGCCCATGACGAACTCCTTGAGGTCATCTAAAGGCAAGTTGAGGCCAAGTCTATCCCGAAGAAAAAGCAGCTGATGCCAGACTGACCGAGCTGCTGTAGGGCCCCCCCCGGCGACGTGTTCGATAAACTGAAAGAAAGATATAGCATC